ACCTAGACGCCTCCAAGATATTCCAGGTTTTAAGTCCACAGCAGCTTTGTGGAAACCATTCTGCACTTCCCTGTGTCACATCATGACAGTACAACCGTTTGTACCTTGGGGCCACTAAATGGGGTAGGAGACACGTGCAATTTCCCGTGAACCTGACCAGTGTCCACTACAAAAAATAGGGGGGGAGGGCATAGAGAACTTTCAGATTCAAATATCTAAACGTGCATTTAAAAACCAAAGATATCCTCACGGGTCACAAGACCAGATCCAGTAACGTGGTATCCAAAAGAACAAACCGACATAAGACAGGTTTTGAGATCATTTTGTAAGCGGGGCAATTCTTACTCCCTCAAGCCCTTTCTTTTCATAAGCTGGTAAGATGGACGAGAACTAAAAGAGAATGATACGCTACTAATTCTGTCATGCCTTCAAGAATGTTCCGGAAGAGACAGGTGGCTGTGACCTTGCAGCTGAGCCCTGGCGCCCAGCCAGAGCGAGATGACAGAATTCCCACGCAGACTCCCAAATGCTGGCCAAGAGGCTTCATGAACTGTGTTCAACTCCACTGATAAGGAATGACATGTTAATTAAAACAACTGTGAGCTATCATCCTTCCCTTATCCGCTTGGCAAAGATCAGACAGTTTAAGGTTTTAGTGAGGAGACAGGAAAACAGAGCTAAGGATACATTGTCGGTACCACTTCTTTGGAGGGGAATTTGGCACAATCTGTCACAACCAGGACGGGCCGGGTGATGCCTATGATACGATTTCACTGGTGTAAGGATTGTCTCCCTGTATATGTGAAATCACAGGGAAAGCTCAGAAGCAGACTCACCCCACGTTCACACCCGCTACCTCTGAAGAGACAAAGCAGAACTCGGACCATGGGGTCTGAAGACAGGGCTGGAGGCGCGAATGGGGAGTATTTTTGTTTGTACTTTATTCCCTGATCCTGCCTTACCTTTCTACCCCTGAGCAGGTATTCTACGTTTATAATTTAAAACACTGAAGAAGTATTTTTTGAAAGGAAATGAATTAAATTGTTTCCCCCCAATTCCGGAGATAAAAAGTAGCCTGAGGGGCATAGATAAGCAGACACAAGTCACCAGAGTGGAAAAACAAAAATAGATAGATGTGATGATGCGATGGCAGTGAGGAAATACTGTTTCTCTCTCTCTTTCTCTTTTTTTTCTTTTTAAGTTTATTTTTTAAAGAGAAAGAATGAGCACAAGCGGGGGAGGGGCAGAGAGAGAAGGAGACACAGAATCTGAAGCAGGCTCCAGGCTCTGCGCTAACGGCACAGAGCCCGACGGGGGCTCGAACCCATGAACAGTGAGGTGATGACCTGAGCCAAAGCTGGACGCTTAACTGACGGAGGCACCCAGGCGCCCCTACTCTGTTTCTCATTCGGCATACTGTCTTTACAATTACGGAAGTAAACTAACAGAAAATTCAGTTATAGGGAAAAGAAAACTATTTGTCACTATAAACAACTGCAGAACACACAGCCCATCAACTGTTAGTACTTTAAGAGCTTTTCTTTCAAGTGTGTGTATATGTATCTGTACATGTACATACGTGCATGCACACACACATTTTAGATGGCTGTATTCACCAGTACCTTAAATTAACACTCCGCATTTTGACATAAGAATTCTTTCTGTAATTAGGTGGTCTTTATAACCATCATTTTAATAATTCTACCACATTCCACAGAGCAGGATATATACCCTCCTCTGCCTACCCGTACCTGGTTACTGGATATTTACTTACAATTTCTGATTATTTTCACAGTTCCTAAGAGACATATATTTCCATGAAAATTGCTTTTTCCATACATTAGATGCTTCCTTAGAATAAATAATTAGATGTGGGATTACTGAATTTAAAAGGGTGAGCAATTTTCTGGCTTTTGAGATACAATTAGTTTCCCAAAGAGTTGTATCCATTTATGGTGTCCCTCGCAGTACATTAAAGTGCCAGTTTCACCATATCCTAGCCAGCATTTGGAGTTAGAAAGACTAAAGCATTTTTATTATTTTATTTATTTATTTATTTTATTCTTTTATAAAGTAAATTCTGAATATTTTTTTAATGTTTTATTTATTTCTGAGAGAGAGACAGAGACAACGTGAACTGGGGAGGGTCAGAGAGAGAGGGAGACACAGAATCCGAAGAAGACTCCAGGCTTTGAGCTAGCTGTCAGCACAGAGCCCGACGCGGGGCTCGAATCCACCAACCGTGAGATCATGACCTGAGCCGAAGTCGGATGCTTAACTGACTGAGCCACCCAGGCGCCTCAGCATTTTTATTATTTTAATAGGCAAAAATGGAATGTAGTTATGGTTTTAATTTAATTTTGGTTTACCAGGGATATTGCACAGTCTTTCATGACTTGTTTTTTTTGTCATCTATCTCGTTTTGTGAATTACTTTTTATGATATTTGATGTGGATTTATTTCAATTCAAAACAAAAACAAGTACCTTTGGAGGTGCCAAGCCCACCAAAAACGCTGTAATTTGAAAATATAGCAGCAGATTTGCTTTTTTATTCACAGAATTCCCTGTGTGAATTTACAGGCTTAAATCAAAGATCGGGGCACCTGGGTAGCTTAGTCGGTTAAGCGTCCGACTTTCGCTCAGGTCATGATCTCACGGTTTGTGGGTTCGAGCCCCGCCTCGGGCTCTGTGCTGACTGCTAGCTCGGAGCCTGGAGACTGTTTCAGAGTCTGTGACTCCCTCTCTCTCTGACCCTCCCCTGCTCACGCTGTCTCTCTCTCTCTCTCTCTCCTAGAAATAAATAAAAATATTTTTTAAAAAACTCAAAGATCTATTCACTGCTAAGGTGGGAACATGGCAGGGGTGCCTGGGTGGCTCAGTCAGTTAAGCACCTGACTCTTGATTTGGCTCAGGTCATGATCTTATGGTTGGTGAGATGGAGCCCCACATGAGGCTTTATGCTGACAGTGAGGAGCTTGGGATTCCCTCTCTCCCTCTCTCTCTCTGTCCCTCTTCAGCTCATACTCTCTTTCTCTCTCTCTCTCAAAAACAAATAAATAAGCATTAAAAAAATTTTTTTAAGGTGGGAACCTTGCAAAACTCACAAAACTCAGTGGCATGCTCCCTAGCCCTTGTAAACGGAAGCCCTTCTAAGACAGGGCAATACCTCACATTCAGGAGATGCCCAATAGAGCAGATCCATGTTAATCTTGGTGATAATGACAATTTTAGTTAATTTCAAACGTTTCTAAGTACCAAGAAAATGAAAATGCTTTTGCTTGGTAGAAGGTTTTCTTTTTTGGTAGAAATCTGAAACAGGACGAGACTGGGGTGGGAAGCTGGGCAGTACTTTTCTCTCCAGTGTGAATTAACAGTGACTTAGAAATTCATCCTTATGTAAGACGGTGAGACGATTGCTCGTCTCATGTGTGCTTCTGTGTCAATAAGAATAGTGATGAGGAGGCTCCTGGGGGGGTCAGGTGGTTGAGTGTCTGATTTTGGCTCAGGTCATGATCTCATGGTTTGTGAGTTTGAGCCCTGTGTCAGGCTCTGTGCTGACCACTCGGAGCCTGGACTCTGCTTCAGATTCTGTGTCTCCCCCTCTCTCTGTCCCTCCCCCATTCATACTCTGTCTCTCTTTCTCTCTCAAAAATAAAACACTTAAAAAAATTTTTTTTTAAAGAATAGTGATAATAGCTCCTGTTGCTTCCTCTCCTGGAAGCTGCCTGATAGCAAAGGGCAGAAGGAAATTAATTGATAATAACTGCCAAATGACGTTCTTAACATACTTTAGCTTTCGGTCCAGTTGGAGTAGCTCAGCGGTCCTCACCCAGAGGCAGCTTTACCTCCGGGGGGACACTTGGTAGTCTCTGCAGACGTTTTTGATTGTCATAACTAAGGGTGGAGGTGGTGGCTAGTGGCTGGTGGATGGAAGCCAGGGGTGCCGCTAAACATCCTGCAAGGAACAGGGTGGCCCCCACAGCAAAGAATGATCTGGCCCAAAATGTCCGTAGCTCTGAGTTGGAGAAACCATTGTAGATCTATCTGTCTAACATCCCCTAAAGTTTTAGTGTTCAGATGTATCAACTGCTACTTTATTTTAAACCTCTGATTTGTAGCATAATTCAACAGTGAGCCTGAATCTATAGGTGTCTAAGTTTTCTTGACATTGAGCACTGGGTCAGTACTGAGCATTACTTTTATTTTTCACCCCAAAGCTCCAACATGAAGCAAGAGCACATCTTTGACTTGGTGATTCTGATTTTAGTGGTTTAGTTGGTAAACAAGACTGGTGGCTCCGAAATCAGATGCGATGGGGACCCCAACTCATTGCTTGCTTTTGAGTAATCTTAAAGGTGAAACATTAACCATTTCTGTCCCTGTTCCTCTCAAGGCAGAGGTTAACCAGATCGTTGAATATTTCCAACAGATGTTTCAGGTGCTCCGGACACAAATCCTTCATTGTCTGTAGCTCCCTACACAGTCTATGCTACGTTTCCTCTCCCAACTATTGCATCATGCATGAATTCAGCAGAGTTACTGCACACCTACTGGGTGCCTCAGCGATCCCACCACCTCCGTAAGTGCCTTTCATTGTTCGCTTCCTATGAAATGGACAATGTGCTTTCTGTGAGCTCTGGGACACTTTTATAGTGACCAAGTCAAAGCCGCCAGCTGAGACCCGGTACGTACTATGCACTCACTACCCTGTGGTTAGCAAGTTATTGCTGACAGACCAGCATAACTAGCGGCCGCCCTGTAGTTCACTGTTCCTTTTCAATAATTCTCTCCGCAAGAAAAACCATTTTCCTTAGCTCCAGTGAAGATTAAGCTTTTCTTTCCCTTCACACAATTAAGAAAAGCACCTCCACAAGGCAGGCATTTCCCTTCCAGGAAGCATAAATCAGCACATTGCCATCTTCCTCTGAATGATTCTGAGAAACCATCTGCTGGGAGCATTTCTCCAACTTGAAAGGCTGCGCGGGCTGTCCTGACTCACCTTTAGAGCTGATGAAAAAGCCAGATGCAGAGCCTGGGCGGAACTCCTCCTTGCTGGGGGCCCAGGGGTCCAGGTCTGTATCTGTGGGGCCTCTCTTCACTTGCAAGTCCCCTTCTCTGTCGTTCGCTTCTTTCTCTGTTTTTCGTTTCGGATTTCTTGCCTGCTTCAAAACAGCAACTCGTGGCTTTAACCGGGGGGGGGGGTGGGGGGGGTGGGGAGCGGGGGGCGCGGTGTATCTGCCTTTCCCGCTCTCATGTCTGGGTAAAAAGCACACCACACCAGCCGCCTTAACGACCTGGAATGCTCCCCACGGCCAGAAGGGGGCAGCAGGCCAATCCCGGGAAGCTTTTGCAAGGGGAGGGTCATTACGACGCAGAGCTGAGGTTATAATTCAGTGCTGGCTATAATTAGTGCTGGACATATTCCATCCAGTGCCGTAGCTTTAGGAGGTGGTGCCCACCTCTCTGGGGGAGGCTCTTGTCACTTCTTGCTGTCCCTGCATGCCTCGTGTTGTGTGAGGAAGGGTCCACCGAACAAGGATGCTTTAGTGAAGGGGATGCAGGTGCAGGCAGAGGGGCTGAGGGTTGCCGAGAGGAAGCATTCAGTGTCATTCCAGGCGCTAGACGGGAGGCAGTGACCTCTAGGGGAGGCTGGCTAATAAACACCTAATCGTCTGCAGTCTAAAGCCGCTACTACCCTACTACCCGAGGCTGTGTTCCTGTTACAAGCATCAGGTAGCCGTCGTCCTCAACTGTTCCTTTATAAGAGTCTGATACTCTATGAAAATGCAGATCCCTGCCCCATCTCCCAAATTCTGAATCTGTAGGTCTGGGTTTAGGTCCAGAAATCTGCGCTGTAGACTCTAAGTGTCCACGGGCCACACTCTGAGAGGCAGTGGACTCACATGCCATTAAGGCATCCTCAAGCTCTGACCTGCTAAATTTTGTGCTGTTGTTTCATGGAAAAGGCCCGTCTACAGAGTGAGACGAAGGTGGGGTGGGGGTGCATCTGACTGCACAAGATGTAAGGAGGCGTTCCTTTCTAAGGGCAAGACGGCCCTTGCACGGCCCTGAAAGTGACATCTCTTTAAACCTTGTGTCCAGTGTCTGTCTGGTTTCGACCTGATCCCAGCCCCGCCAGACCCCAGCCCCGAACCCGGGCTGGCCACTTCAAGCACTCGGGGACCTGTCGGAGGAAAGGGTGGTGTAGGATGACCTGAATTTTCTCTGCAATTCCAGGCCCCCCCTCCCCTTGAGCAAGTTGATGTGGGGTCGTCATGAGCGGAGGGGGGGGAGGGGAGCAAAGCAGAGACTTGCGGCCCCCAGGCCCCTCCAGCAGAGCCTGGAACTGGCCGAAGGTCTTTGTGAGCATGTTTCAGCTCAAAATTTCAGGTTACGGGCCATCTTCCTGGGGATCAGCGAGGGAAGAATACCAGGTGGCCTCTCCGTTTTCCCAGGCGCACCTGTAGACACAGCAGAAGGTTAGAGAATATCTGTTCCCAAACCAGACAATATACATTTATGTGCCAAAATAGTGAGACTTGTGTTTTAAAAAAGCAGGAGTCTTTGGAAAGTGATTATGAGATTTTGAAGGCTAAATAATAGGAATAAAAAGAATAGGCTTATCACTTAGGAAAACAGAGACTTTAAAACAAGGAATTAGCTACAAAAGCAGAAGCGCTGAAAAGTCAAACGGAAGTTTTGGGGTCGGGGGGTGGTAGACAACTCAGAGATTAGCAACAGACAACGGAAGCAGCTACCGTTGGAAATGAGTAGGAGACCACTGTTGGAAATGCTGCCCCAAGCAAGGAGGGTGCTATTAATATCCCCATTTCACAGATGAGTAGAGGGAAGCATGGAGAGATTAAGTAACTACCCAAGGTCACGTAGCTTCTGAGTGTGTAATGAATTTAAACTTAGGCAATGTGATCCCGAGTCCATCTTCTTGCCCACTATACTTATTGCCATGTGAATAAAGGCCACATGGGGAAATGTTGGTAGAGTCGAGTTAAAAATTAAATTCAGAGTAGACGCTTTATTATGCATGTTGTCACGAATAAGCCTTGAGGTGGCCTCCATAATGGGGCACTCCTGGGAGAAGTGAATTCAGTCATTCATTGAACAAGTAGCACGTACTCCAAGCCAGACACCATGAGTAAAAGGGTTATTTCATAAAATCCAATGTATCCCATAAGGAATTTTAATTCAAGAGAGTAATGAGTTAATGAGTGTATCGCTGAGTTTAATTACAAAGGAGTCAGTGACTTAATGAGGGTATGCCTGATTCTTGACAGAAGCCATAGAAATGAAGGGAGGTATTAAAGTTGGCCAAAGACCAAGTTGTGGACCACATAAGGAGCAATCAGAGAAACAATCGACACTGAGTTCCCATTTGTGAACGTTCACCCCCCATTTTCCTCCCCCACATTGTACAGAAGGGTGTCTTTTATTGTGTGTCATTCTCAAATAAATCAGCTGTGTAACCATTCCCTTTATGCTTTCCTTGGAGAGCTTTCTGTTCTGATGTCACTCTCCTATCTGAGTCACTTTTTCTTTCCTTCTTCTTTTTTTTTTTTTTAAATTTTATTTTGAGCCCCTGATGCAGGGCTCGATCCCATGACCATGAGATCACAACCTGAGCCAAATAAGGAGTCAGCCTCTTAACCAACTGAGCTAGGCGCCCCTGAGTCATTTCTTCTATATTTACCATCTATGAATCCCAGTGGCTTCCTCTCTGGGGAGGCAACTTTTAGGTCCCTCACTTCAACTGCCACCTAAGTCAGAAAGCATTTTCAATACACACTTTTATTTTCTCTTTGACTTTTTCAGCATTATAATTTTCCTGAAAATAATTTAAAAATTTTTTAATGTTTATTTATTTTTGAGAGAGGGAGACAGAGCATGAGCAGGGGAGGGGCAGAGAGAGAGAGGGAGACACAGAATCCGAAGCAGGCTCCAGGTTCCCAGCTGTCAGCACAGAGCCCCATGCAGGGTTAGAACTCACAGACCGTGAGATCATGACCTGAGCTGATTTCAGACACTTAATCCACTGAGCCACCAGGTGCCCTGTTCCTGAAAATGATTTGAGAAAAAGAGAAGCGGGTTGCCTGAGGCCTGAACTGGCTCAGAGCCAGAAGGAGAATGAAAAGGCGGTCAAGCCCTGACCCAGGCTACAACTGGGATGGACCTTGACCACAAGCATGGTAAGAGGACAATTCCCATAGCGTTGCATTCATGTGAGGCGCCCAGAGTCGTCAAGCTCTGAGCCCGAACAGTGCTGGTCTCCAGGAGCTGGTGGGACAGGGAAATGGGAATTCTTTTTCATGGGCACATTTCCATTTTGCAGCAGGGAAAGGTTCTGGAGATGGATGGTGGTGATGGCCTCACGACCTCATTGCTTGTACTTGATGTTCCTGGTCTCTGCACTTGAAAATGGTTAAGACGGTAAATTTTATGTTACACGTATTTTACCACAGTTGTATAAATAAGTAAGGAAAAAATAAACTTCTGGGTCTAAGAGACGATGAAGAAACAAAAAAGACAGTTAAACTCCTGAAGTTCAAAGGGCCCTGTGGGATGGGTAGTTGTCCGAGGTGCTCCAGGAAAATGTCGGGGTATCCCTGAGCCCCGCATTCAGGGGTCCCAGGGGCTCTGGGGAGGGTGTGAGAACAAGACATCCCTGCAGACTGCTTCCTCACCCCCTGGAAGGTTTCCAGCCTTGATCCTTTCACTCAGGCCTAGTTGGAGCCTTGAGGGGAAGGAGTGATAACCCGTCTTCATGTACCGCTTCCTGGTTGCTGAGTCCAGAAAGGTCTCAACGTCCCCAATGTGTCCTGATTGGGAAAATGCTCAATCCCACATACCAGGGCTTCTCTTCCCTCTGCCCCTCCTCCCCCTACCATCTGCTGGCCTTTTGTGGGACCCTGGCCTCCTGTCAGAAACAGCGGCCTCCCCCATGGCTCCCGCCCCAGATCCTGGCAACTTGTTCTCTCTCGTCCCCTGGAACTTTGAGACCAAAGACCCTGGGCCAGGCTCCTCATCTTTCTCACATATTTACTTCTCCAGATTACTTTTCTAAAGGTGATTTAGTTGAGTTTCCCAGCAGCAGATGTCCTCTGGCAATTCTGTTCAAGATTGCATTAAAGTTATACATAAATTTGGAGAGAATTGGCATTGCATGCTTATTTTTTCTGATTACTATCAACTCTAAAACTGTAAGTTGATTCCTTTCTCTTTTTTTTAGATAGAAAGTCAAATCATCTGCCTGTAATGATGGCTTTGCCCCTTCTTTTCTAGCATTTATACCTCTTGTTTTATTTCCTTGTCTGATGTATTGGCTATCACTCATAAAACAGGGAATGCTTACCCACTTTGTCCTGTCCTTGATTTTAATAATGTTTTCAGGGGTGATGTTTTCAAAATACGATACTTAAAAACTGGCCAAGAGCCCTGGACCATCAGAACGGCAGCACCAGCCACAGAACTGATGCCACTTGTAAACCATCAGCACAGCTAAGTCAGTGTACAGCGGCCCACATGACAGGCACATAGTACATCCTGAGAGTTTTATCATCCAGCATGGCATCATTGGTTGATTTGTCATAGATTGAAAACAATACTTTAATTCTCATTATACTAAAACCTTTTATCAGGATAGAGCCAAGGGTCTTCATAACTTGGTTTCAACCTGAAAGGCTTCCATCTCTCAACATGCCTCAACATGGACCTGCCTGATCATAATCCTCCAGCAACTATCTATCAGTGATGGGGCATGTCCAGTTGTGCAAACTAAGGGCTTCAGGGTCCCAATGTTCCATTCCTTCTTATGGGTTGCTCTCTGTCTATGAAAACCTTCCCACTAATAACATGGAAAACCATTGAGCTTTCAGGACTTAGCTGAGACATTCTTTCTGATGTCTTCCTTGACCATGTGCTTTCTGTGCACCTCCCAACAAGTGAGAGTTAGCCCCCTTCACCTTTTCAGGCCCCCAGGGGCTCCGGGACACACTTCTCTGCGGTCAGCCTTTCACACCGTGTTTATATTCGGTTGTTTCCATTTTGTTTCTATTTATGTACAGAAGTCTCCTCTACCCCTATCCACCCAGTGAGCAGAGGGCTTGATGCTTAGTTAGCACTCGAT